TTATAATACAAAATGTCAAAACTGAAAACAAAATACAAATACCTTTATTTATGCAATCTTCTTTTAATGTAAAGACAATAGGATTACCATCTGGAAAATGAAGACAACTATAATATGTATTTTTACATATTAAATGTAAAATATTTTACAAATATAATTTTTGCATACGAACCATTTGTTGTTAAAGTTTCAGTATCCTCATTTTCTGTGAACATGATCCCTTGTGTGATAGAATCATTCTGATCTAGAGTATTTATTTTGGTTTAATATTTTACATTTTTTAATAATGTCTTATAATATATTAGTTTTATAATTACACATATATTTAATGAATACATTTAGGTGAAAAGTTTTCTCTCTCTAACACTGATAAAAATTTTAAATGGAATGATAAATGAAGGATATTTAAACAATGGCAGGAGGATAGCAGGATAAATACATAATTAAGTTAAGATATCTGAAAATATTTTTAAATTAAATTATCACAGTTCGTTAAGATTCAAAAAAAAAAAATTATAAGTAATATTATAGGTGTATTTATAGTTAATAAAATGTGAAACTAACTTTATAGAACTTAAAATATATTTCAGTTTTAAGATGAAGTTGAATTTTTAAATTGAGTTCCACTTACCTCATCTTACCAAACCTTGAAGTAATTGGACTATTTATAATATCAATTAGTTTTTATTAACATTAGAAAAAAATTACTTAGGGGCTAATTACACAGGGTTGGTTCAGCTCAATGTAATTTTTCATGTTGTGCTTTGATCAGAGAGAGAAAACAAATAGTGTGCTGAAATCCTCTTAATGTTTTTACTAATATACATACCAGCAATATTTATACTTCGTCCAATAGCTCTATTGTCTATCACACTTTCTAAATATTTAAAAAAAATTAATAGTGAAATATTATTATAAGAACTGAACTAAATTTATATTATATAAGACAATAAAACTACCATTCAAATGTAAGATTGCAACACCATCACTGTCAAAACTATTGGTCCATTCCACAATATGCGGTCTACCAATCAATTCCTCTACCTCAGGATCTTGAGGTTGAGGTAGTTCTGGTAGGCAACCACCTCCAGTGCTTAATCTTGCATTTCTTTCAGTAGTAAAAGACTTACGGGATTTGGCCTTTTCAGACTCCCAAAACTTTTTTAAGTTTTTAATTTCTCTCTTTAAGAATTATAATAGGTACATTTATAAATATTTTTTTATCTAGTTTTTGTATGTATTTATTTTCTTACATACATTTATTGTTATATTATTAGATTGTTCTAAGTATAATAATTATACTACCTACGCACTACACATAAAGTAAATATACACATTCATATAGATTAATTGCCTTTTGTACATTAGAATGAGAGTTAAAATCATTAAGAAACATTTTGAAAGGTCTAACACTTTTTTTATTTGTATTAGTCTTTTTTGAAATCTTTGAATATGTTATTTTGTTTATTAGAAATTGGAAATATATTTAAAAATGTTATGTGGGATAAAACTTAGCATACTTTTATTTATCTTACTGTGACTATTCAATAGAGACTAAATAATATTTCAAAATTATTAGATGAAAGTTGATTACATACCTGAATATTTGTATATAGTAGTATAGTACAGTTTGTACAATGTTATGAAACTTAGGTACCTACCTGGCTACCTACCTATTTTTATATTGTAAATTTCATACATGTTTTATGTACAATGTACATAACACACATATAACTGCAAAAAATTATGTAGAAAGTTATATTTAGTAATTACCTTTTTAACATTAGAATGAGCGTTAAAATCGTTCATTAAACTTAACCAAGCTTGGTTCTTTTTACCGTTTGTGCTAAAATCTTTTTTTGTATCTTCCAAAACTTTGGCCACCTTTTGGTAGCAATGGAAAAATATTGCTTTTCCCAATTTGGCCCTCTTTCACGTTTTAACATTTTCTTTTCTTTTAAATCCATTCTGTGACAGTAAGTACTTCCAGAATCCGATAGAAATAACAGTTGGATAAATGGATAATAAAGTTATTTACGTTTTAATAAGAATCAAACWGATAACATCGATAATTATCATTATCATTACTGATAAGCATGGAATAATCAATTTATTTTGAGAAATAATAATATTTAAGTAATACCTTAATATTAAGTATTACCTAGCTACGGATTACTTAAATTTCAACTGTGCAACCAAAAATTAAGTGTCAGCTATGTACCACCTAGGTGTCCCGTAGTTAAGTGTTACCTAAGAGATTTAAGGGACCCTTAAAGTGTCGGACTGTGCATACG